CCTTATGAAAAGCTAACAGGGTCGGAGCCAATGAAATCTTGATCGTGTGTTGTTCCAAAGAGTAAATAATCTGAATCTCATTTCATAGAAGGTACCCCACAGATCTCGTGAGATGAAGTAAATGCAAGAAATGTTTCACTTTGTACCATACAGAGGTAATGTAAACTCCTGCTAATTTAGGAATTTATTGATACATACAATTTAATCAGAGGTATCTAAACATTTTTGTGTAACTTTATATATAACTAGTCATTCAATTTTTAGGCTCTTACTTCTCATTATATCATTTGGTTTACCTAAAAAGTAATTTGGGCTCTCAGACAATAATCTGACATTATTTGTACACACACACACAAACACACACAGACACACATATACATATATGTATACATACATACATACATATACACACACACACACAAACACACACATTCCTGACCGCCATACCACATCTATCACAGGGGTCCCCAACCCCGGTCCATGGACTGGTACCGGGCTGCGGCATGCCAGCAACTGATCCGCACAAACAAGCAAAGCCCCATCTGCAGGAGGCAGGAAGCACACAAAACCACGCACCCTTCGGTCTGCGAAAAAACCTCTTTCCACGGAACCGGTCCCTGGTGCTTAAAAGGTTGGGGACCTCTGATCTATCATATACCTGATATTGCATTCAGCAACCAGCTTTCAATTCTGTAAGTGCACTAAACCAGTGGTTCTTAACCTGGGCGGTACCGCCCCCCAGGGGGCGATTTCATTTTTCAGGGGGGCGATGAAACGAAAAGGGGCAGCGTGGGGGCGATGGAACGAAAAGGGGGCGATAGGGGGGCGATGGAGCGAGATGTTTTGGGGACACTTTTGAGCCTTCCCCTGCAGCTCCGAGCATCCTCCGCCATTTGTAGAGAGAGACAGAGAGGCACTTGTGCTTCTCTCTCTTTCTCTCTCATGCGGATTTGCCCCCTCGCAGGGCTCCTGATTGGCCCTGTGCCCGGGCACCCCGCCCTCTGGGAGAAGCGCGGCCAGGAAGTCCCTTTCCCTGGCTGGCCCCATCCGAGGTACACGTGGTCGGGGAACCGCACGGGGAAGCCTGGAATCCCCGCTGGGAGCAGCCAGCCAGAGCCTCTGCTGAGCAGGCCAGCCTTTCCGCAAGCCAGGCCCTGAGAGAGAGCAGCCCCTGCGATCTCCAGCCGCGGG